GAAATGTTCAGTATTAAACTAGATACATAGACTGAGTAGATGATGGTAAGTGAAGGTACACTCACTTCATTTCCTGTGACTGAAATTTCCTGAATTCAAAGCACTGCAGATTTTGAAGAACTATATAGGAGTGTACGGTGAACACAATTTCAAAAAAGAGAGTCACTGATTTTCATAGATAAATGAATGCCACATTGATTTTCTACCCAACTTTGGAGTATGAACCCCATAATATGTCTAAATTGGACTGTCTCAACCTTATTATGGTGGCTGCTTCAAAGTAGTATATATTGACTGAGCATTTACTCTATCCCAAGGACTTTACATGTATTTCCTCTTTCAAGAAAAGTTGATTGAACTAATAGTAAGGGATGTTCATACAAAAGATAAACTATTCCTGCAATTTTAGTGACAAGTACACGAACTCCAGAAGTATGTTGAAGTTGCTGCCAATGAGACCAAATTTTGAGCAATGTGTGTGTCTGCCTGATTGTGGGAAATATACTTTATTTCATGAAACTACTATAAGCATGTAGCTATTCTGATTATATTCAGCTGTACATACATAGAATACAAAATAATAATGCCCATAAATAAGAAAGAAGTTTATTTCTCTCTCACTTAAAAGAGGTGAAGGGGTGCCTGGGTGGCTCAGTTGTCGAGTGTCTGCCTTCAGCTCAGGTCATGATCCCAGGGTCCTGGGATTGAGCCCCGCGTCAGGCTCCCTGCTCCTCAGGAGGCCTGCTTCTCCCTCTCCCACTCCCCCTGCTTGTGTTCCCTCTCGCTGTGTCTCTCTCTGTCAAATAAATAAAATCTTAAAAAAAAAAAAAGAGGTGAAGATATAGAAAATCCAGAATTTATGTCAGCTCTATGGTCATTAAGGATGCAGATTTCTTCATATTTCTGTTTCTACATTCAAGCATACTTTTTTAGGATTTCATTTTATCTCCACTGTTGACTTATTAGCTAGACCGTTTGTTTTATTTTTGATGGGCATTCTAAGATTTAGAATGCACATTTTTAATTTATCACAACTGACCTTCAAATAATAGTACAATATTTCACATATAATATAAATTCTAACAATATAATTCCATTTCCCCCTTCCATCCTTTGTACTATTATTGTCAAGCATTTTACTTCTACATATGTTATGAACCCCATAAAACAGTGTTATATTTTTGTTTAAGTAGTCAATTATCTTTTTTTTTAATTTTTAAGTGGGGGGAAGCCTTTTGTATTTACTTATATAGTTACCATTTCCAGAATTCTTCATTCTTTAGTATAAATCCAAGCTTGTGTGTGTGTGTGTGTGTGTGTGTGTGTTTAATGCTGAAAAAGTTGCTTTAACATTTCTTGTGGTGCAGCTCTGCTGGTAACATTCTCTCAGCTTTTGTTTTCTTTAGCTTTTATTTTTTGAAAGATATTTTCTCTAAATATAGGATTCTGTGTGACAGATTTTTCTTTCTTTCAGCACTTTTTAAAATGCCCTTTGTCTTTTGCATAGTTTCTGATCAGAAGTTTATTGAATTTTTGTCTTTATTTATACATAACGTACCTTTCTTCCCACTGGCTGCTTTTAATATTTTCTTATCACAAGTTTACAACAATTTAATGATGATGTCTTTTGCAGTGGTTTTGTGAGTGTGTGTGCTTACTCTGCTTAGGGCTCATTGAACTTCTTGAGTCTCTGGGTTTATAATTTTTATCAAATTTTTAGCTATATTACTTCAAATAATTTTTCTGTCGCCCTTCTCACCTTTCTTTTATCTGGAACTCCAGTTGCACAAAAGTTAGAATACTTGGTATTATCCTACAGATCACTGAGGCTGTTTTTTTTTTTTAGTTTTTGTTGTTTTAGTTTTTTTTTTCTTCATGCGCTTTACTTTGGCTAGACTCTACTGCTATGTCTTCAAGTTTACCAATCTATTTTTCTGAGTGTCTAATCTGCTTGAGTGTCAATCCCACCCAGTGAAATTTTTATGTCCATTGAAATTCCATATTTTTATATCTTTAATTTCTCTCAGTATATGGAGCATATTTATAATAATTTTTAATGTTGTTGACTGCTAATTCTACCATCTTTGTCATTTCTGGCTTTGTTTACACTGACTGACTTTTCTCCTGGTTATAGATTACATTTTCCTACTTCTTTGTACGTTCTAGTTCCCTTGCTAGTTCCCAGGCATTTTCATGATCTTCCTGACTACTCCTTAAGTGCTGGTGTTCCCCAGGATGCTATTATTGATTCTTCCTTTTCTGCTGTACATACTCCCCGTGGGGTTATTTCATCCATTCCCATAATTTTGACTACCATCTATATGATGGTATATTCCAGTTATAACTTCTGCTGTCCAGATCTCTCTTCAGAGCGCGCGCACGCGCACACACACACACACACGTATATATATATTCCACTTCTCCACCGAGATGTCCAGAATTATCTCAAACTCAACATATCCAAAGTGAATTCATCAAATTCCCCCTCAAAAGCTGTTCAATCTCCTATATTCCCTAACTCAGTGAATGGCATCACTAGCTCAAAAATCTGTGACTCATCCTTCTTCTTCCTTGTAATAGATATTGTGGCTCCCCCCCTTTCCAGCCTTTGTTCTTCGTTTTCTGGGCAATCACCTCAGTTTTCATTGGAATATCCACACCTCCTCATCACAACTTGGGGGAATCTGACTCCTTTGGGTCTAGGGGCAGGGCATATGTCTTTATCCTAAGATAATTAGCCTTATGTCATCCCCTGGCCATGTACAGACACATGAACCAATTCTTGAGGCTTCTGGGAAAGGTGTTTTCTCTCCTTTCTCAGAGAGTTTTCAAAAATTTTATTCTTTTTTTTCTTTTCATGTGCCTAGATGGTGAAACTTAAAACCACAGGAATTTTTAAAACCACTGTCATTTGACCATAGGCTAATACTAAGTAAGGAAAAGCAGTGAAACAAGAGAGAAACATGACATCTTTGAACTGTGGAATCATTCAGCTCTGTAGCCCACCTTTTCACTGGACTTTCTATCTAGATAGGTAATATTGGTTTATTGGTTAAGCCGGTTAGAGTTGGGTTTTTGCTGCTTGCAACCAAAAGCATCATAATTGTAACTTTCCTTCACCTTTTACCCCCAAACACAGGCAATTGCTCACTAGGTTCTATTAATTCTCTCTTTTAAATAGTGTCTGAGTACCCTCAGTTCTGTCCCCTGCCACTGTGAATGCCTTAGTTCAGGCTCTCCTTTTTTTTTTAAAATGCATAAAATGCATTTCTAAAATACATATCTTATCAAAATTTCATCTGCTTACATCCTAGCATGAGTTTCCATTGCTTCTAGAAAAGAGTCCACATTCCTTAACATATTGTATGAGTCTTCATGATCTAAGCAGTTTCCCTTAATTTTTCTGCGTCTCCTCTCACTACTCCCTCAACCCTGTTCTACTGACAATGCTGAACTCTTGGCATAACCAAAATACTATAGTCTCCTGCCTCTAGCACTTTGCTCCTGCTGCCCTCCACCTCCACCTGTAATGCTCCCACCCACTTCTCTCTTCCCCCTTCTCCACCAAAGTGCACAAACACGCTGATAGGTAGTCATCTTTAAGCTCAAATGTTCTTGGAAGCATCTCCTGACCTTGCTTGAGTCTGGGGCAGCTATGTACCAAAGCACCTGGTGTGCTTTCCTGTTACAATATTTATCACACTGAGTCCCTTTATTTACGGGTCTCCTCTGTGCACAGCAAGCACTTTGAAAACAAAGAATGTTTCTTTTACATTCTTGTATCTCTACTTCTGAGAACTAATAAAGTGACTGGGACATAGTATACTCAATAAATTTTTTTTGAATGAGTAATTATGTGCTCTACAAACATAAGGATTTCTGATCTTGAGATTCTATTTGAAAACCTCTAATTTTTCTTCTGCGACATGTGTTTCTGATTTACAAACATTAATCTTTTTCTTCCAGGATATGGGTTTCTAGCTAGGCAGAGAAGGAAAACAAAAGAGCTTGGGACAGGTGGCCTTTAGTCCTTTAGAGATCCAGTAACTGTATCCTGCCTTTCACCACCCTCCTCCAACACCAGTTCACACCTGGGTGCCCGATATGGGTGTAGACTTAGCTGACCAGCCCAACAGCATACTCAGACCTTGGTTCAGACTTCTGTTATTGCCAAATGAAAGTTTGCCAATATAAGTACAGTAAACAATTTTCAACCTCCCACGTATCGTTTGAATTTATGTATATTTCTTTAAAAATCGTAGACCCTAAAATAAACAAATCTGGATTATTTTACACTGGGCAAGTAAAAAATACCAGTCCTAATCCTGAACTTTTACCTTTGCTGGTCTTAAAGTTTGATGTGACTAAGTGAAAAAATTAACTATGGGATTCCGACAGTATTCCTAATAGTTTTATCACTTAATTGTTAAGTTACTGGAAGGAACTACATTTCTACAAGTCTTAAGTAAAAAACAAAACAAAACAATCTTGAATTTAAAGCAGAGAGAATTCGTTTGAGGCAAGGGAAGGAAATGGGTATTTCTGATTCAGAATTTTGAAAGAAAATGAAGCCACAGGGAAGACCGAAATACCGACAGGAAGTCAGATTTCACCGGGCACTTGTAGTGGTGAAGCTAGGAGCTGGGGGTGGAGCGAAGTAGGAAGGACTCGCTGAGAGCGGGATCCCTAACAGCACCTTAAGACAAGAAGGGCCTTGTTCAGCCCGCAGCAGCAAAGAACACGTTCTCTTCCTCGGTGTGTCGGTGACCATAGTAACAGTGGGGGCCGACCCTCTCTCTCTCTCTCTCTCTCTTCTCTTTCTCTTTTTCTCGCGCGCGCGCCCGAGCGCACTCCCTCTCCGAGCATGCGCAGTGCAGAGAGAGCCGGGCAGCATCTTTAACGATGTTTCCCTTTTTTCTTCTTTCGGAAAACTACAACTCCCAAGAGACCACTCGGTGTCGCGTCACCGCCTCCCGCTGTGGCCCTGCCCGGTCCCCTCCCTCCTGTCCCGCCCTCCTCCTAGTCCCCTCCCCTCCCTCCGAGTGTGTGTCAGTGACCCAGAGGCGGTGTGAGGCGGAGGGACCGTCGGGGGGCGCCGCCGCGGCCGCCGCCTCCACCAGCAGCACCAGCAGTGCCGCACGTTCGGATTTGCCTCGAGCCCTCCGGGAGCGCACCACAAAGCGGGCCCCGCGTCTTTCCGTCCGCCCGCGGTTCCTCAGCACTCGGCTCCGAGGCCAACTTCCCTCGCGGGGCTTGGTCGGCTGGCGAGGAAGGCGGCGGCAGAACGCTGGGCTCTCTGCTCGCGCTCCTCGCGTACGCACACTTCACCCCGTCGCTCCGGATCTCGGGGCCGTGCTGGGATTGCGGCCACCAGCAATTGTCCGGTGAGTGTGGCCGCGGCGCGCCGCGGGAGGGATGGTGACGGGGCTGGCGAGGGGTGCGGGCAAGGCGGGTGCGCAACTTCCTCGGCGGCTGCCCGGGGCGACCGGCCGGCTCTCCCCGCCCGCCTGCGCGCCCCCGCGCTAGAGGCGGTCGGGAGCTGAGTTTGCGGCGCCGGCATCCCGCGCCCTCGCAGGAGGAAGAGCCTTTGTCAGGAGCCGGCCCGACGCTCCCTCCCCCTCCGCCCGGGAGCCCGGCGCGCGGCGGCCAACTCCGAGCTCCGCGCCCGGCGCCCGGCCGCATACTGCGGGAGGGGAGCTCCGCGGGGGCGGGGAGGAAGAAATGAAAGAGAAACAAAGGGGGCTGTGGGCTTTTCTTTTGTTTGTGCGAATCTGCTAACTTCTCCTTATATAACGCAGACTTCCAAGTTAGTCATTTCTTTTTATTGTTGTGATTATTGTCATCTTCTCTGCGTGTCTCTCGCATTTCCTTTCATCTCTGGATCTCAGAGCGTTTAAAAACACTAATTAATTACACCTCTGGGGTCCATACGAAACAAGTTAATACGCCCGTTTTCCTAAGTGGGTAAACTGAGGTCCGGAAGAGCTCTCTAATTGATGGATACTCTTGATCTTCCTCCTCGCCTAGTGTCTGAGGACCTGAAAGCATTTATGAGTAAGAACTCGTTCTCCAATGCCCCGTGGAAAAGTTAAAGATGCTCATTTTAGTTACAGGTTAACTGAAGTCTAAAAGAAGTCTGGGTAATTGTTAGGTAGTTCAAACAATAATTCTTCTTGCATAGTATTTGAATCTTAAAACCTCAAGGACTCTTGAAAAATGCTTCGAGTGTGGAAAATGCTGTAAATCATAAACTCACCTCACCATCTACTTTTAATTTTGTACACTCGGGTCTCTTATGAGGCAAGATGGGGAGCAGGAGGGCAGAGATTTTTTTTTAATGTAGATTTGACAGATATTAATCACTACACACAAGGAAATGTGTCTTGGTTTTAACAGCATCAACAACCTTCCCATCGTGTAGTCATCGAAAACTATGTTAACAAATAATTGAGGGAGCATTTTATCCATAAGGTGCTGATTGTGCCATGGACTGAAGCTTTAAGTTTGAAAAGGTCATCTGTTTGTTTTGGTTCAAAGGCTGTGTACTTTTCCTCCTCTGCAAAATGTTATTTTGTTTTTGTAGCAGCTGATCTTTTGTTTCAGAACTGGCTTTGTCTTTTTCTGCATTGAATATATATTATAATTGAAGAGGGATATAAGATGCTGGGTTTTTTGTTTTTGTTTTGTTTTGTTTTGCACTGTAGTGTGAATTTCAATTTTTGAATTGTGGAGAAGGTTCAGTCTCTTCATTTCTTCTGTTTCAGTTTATGATGTTTCCTTTAAAACAGGAAATGTTTTCTCAGAGTGATCAGATTTACATCTCTCAAAACATTGTTCTCATTGTATAAATATATCATATGAATTCCTTTTGTATTTTATTCACACCAACAACCTCTTCTGGAGGAAAATGCTTAACTCTGAGAACAAGCTTATTTATTTTGGTAGTTGAACCAAACTGGAGGGTACCAAAAATTTAAATCAAGCATCATTTCTAGTAGTTATTTCCTGAGGTGAATGATGATCAGAACTGTAGTAACAGTGAGTACTTTCACTTATCCTAATTACTCTTGAATTTAACTTTGTGTAATATAGTTGCCCCCAGATTTTAGATTCTGGTCGTCCCGTCAGAAAAGGAAAGTGAGACGTTTGCTATTTTCATATTTCTCTCCAATCCTCTAACCTGTCCCCTTCCTGTTTAAAGAGGTCTTGAGTTTAAAACAAACAATTGGAAATAGAACAGTTAAGTGTATGGAAAGTTGCATGTAGTGAAGTGGTTTTAATGCCTAATCTAATAAATTTACACCTTTTAAAGAGAATACTGTCACCTAGGTTTTCATTAATGTGTTAGAGGTGCTATAATGCAATAATGGTAGTATTTATTGACTTAAAAAAAAAGCTAGACATTGTGTCTTAGTGACAGATTTGAGGTGAAGGGATAGAAGCTGTGCTCTCCTTAAAATTGTCATTTCAATGACCTTGCAGTTAGTTGGTTATGTTGAACTTTTTCTGTAGCTTTTACAAACCAGATTTGCCAGAGGCATTTGTACTTTAAGGAAGCTACTGACACAACATCTTTGTTCAATCACTGGAGTCCAAAGGCAGAAGTTAGTGTTGACTGGCAAAGGCTTGCACTGCAGTGTCCTGGTATCTTTGGGAACCCTTAAAGAAATGACTGAAAAGCACAGGTCAGGGAACGGAGTCTGGTACTGCTGAATGCTAATCAGGCAAGTTTCAAGGGGAAGCCTCCAGTAGGTTGCTATTTGACTTTGTTTCAGCTTCTTTTCAGGTTGTCATAATGTCACATATTATTCAGAATCCTGTGATTCAAAACATGCCTTATGGTAGTTGTCCAGTGGGTCAGATGATAAGGACTATACTATAGTAATCCTGATTTGTGAACAACTGTTTGCAGACAGAAACTTCTGGGGCTGATGAAGATTTTAAGCCCAGACTTAGAATTGAAAACTATCTAACATTCTCACACACATACGTTTTACCATTGCACATCAGTATAGACCTACCCTAGTATTTATTAAACCAGAAAGATTTATATGGATTATTTTATTACATATATTTTAACTGTACAGTATATAATATGTTAAAATTTCAAAATGACAGGTATGTGATGGTACTAAGATAGTTCCAGGAGTTTCTTTGGAAAAATCATGTTATTCCAAAAGTTACATTTATGTCATTTAATTAAAAAGAATGAAACAAATTTAAGAGCCAGTGGAAAGAAGGAAGAAGAAAAACAACAGAAAGAAGGAAACCTGATGAAGATGTTTTTAAAGAGTATAATATAAAAGATTCCTGGCAACATTATATAAGGGACAAAATTCTAGCTGAAATCTATAAACAGTGAATTCCACTTAGCACTTTCTGTTTATAGATTTCTGGCCATCTTTTCCAGATTCCCTCTAAATATATTACACAGGAAAAGTAAACAGAAATCATTCTTTCAAGGGATTTGGGTTGTTGGAGATTGTTTTCACACATGTGGTAAGGGGGAGGGTGGGCTATTATTGTTTTTCTTTAAGTATGACCTCTGCCAGAGAAGGTTTTCCCCACACTAATGTATGGGAATCTCAAAACAAGAAATATTGGTCACTGAAACAACTAGATATAATTTCAAGTTATGCCACTAGCTTTTTCTTACGTTATCTTGAAAGACCACTTTTAACTTTCCTTTCAAAGGTTGAAAATAATTGCCTAACATATTACACTTAGTAGGTCCTACATAATTTCTGTTGTTGGTGCTGAATTAATTTGCAGGTAATAAAGAAGCAGCAATGATTTTTTGAGAGAATATCAGGGAATTTGTGATTTTTTATCCTTTTTAAATAGAAATAAGTAATCGAAACATATGAATATCTGATTGGAGCCTTTCAATTAGCATAGCTTCCTTCAGAAATAAACTTAGAGGAAAAGAGCTTCATCAGGTAATTTAAGAGAAATGAATTGTAAATGAGTCTAAGAAAATGTGATTATTTTTTCAGAATATGCAGACGATGTTTTAGATTTTTTTTCTTTGCTGCAGTAAACTCTTGTTTCAAAGAACTAGAATTCGATATAATACTCCTTGTATTACTCCTGTAAGACTTTTATAAACCTCAAAATACCATTTACAGAAAAATAGAATGTGTTGCTGTTGCCTATAAATGGGAAAATCCGGACATTTGTCATTCCCGTTAATCTTGACCATTCATGTAGTTAAAAAAAAAAAAATTCTAAATTCAATACACTTGTAATTTACTTCCTTTTCAAAGAATGTATTACTGATTTTTCTTTTATAATGGGCCCTTGGGATGTTGCTAATTCTAAAAATACATAATACCCCTAGTTTCCCACCATCTTCTGCAGTTTCTTTTCCTATCATTTTTTGGCTACAATTTGCTTTCTCCCCTAAATTGTCTAAAATAAGCTAAGAAATGTTTACACATACTTGACAAGAAATACAGTTATTAATTATGTTCAACTTCAGCTAAATTTCATTGTACAGGGTGCATTGAATTTGTTTTGGAGATAAAAGTATACACTTGCTTTGAAACAGGGGGAGGTAAAGCAGGGATAGCAAATAAATTTCACCTTAGGTACCAAACCGGTTTCTTGGTGGTGGTTCCCTGCACTATATTGAGAAAACTGGGAGTGCTGTGATTAGCAATTTCTGCTTTTGGGTGGGCAATGGACTTTTGAGATGAACGCCAAATATTCATTCAGTAAGTATTTATTGGATGTCTTTTATGTGTCAGGCACTGGTCTAGATGCTGATATCACTCACACAGACTAAAAGTAAAAGCTCTGCCTTATGGTGTTTACATTCTAAACCAAGACACAGGCAATAAAATAAAAAAGTAAAATATTTCATGTTTTAAGGATAAATGATCCCTTTTTTTTTTAAGATTTTATTTATTTATTTATTTATTTATTTATTTATTTATTTATTTATTTGAGAGAGTGAGCGAGAGACCATGAAGGGCGGGGTGGAGGGAGAAGGAGAAGCAGACTCCCTGCTGAGCAGGTAGCCCTGATGCAGGGCTCCATCCCAGGACCCCGGGATCATGACCTGAGCCGGAGGCAGATGCTTAACTGGCTGAGCCACCCAGGTGCCCAAATGACCTCATTTCTTCAAGAAGTAAATAACAAGAAATAAGAAAGGGAGAGGAAGCTCTAAGATAAAAAGAGACTTCAGAGGCATATCCACCAAATGCAATGTATGGACCTTTGATCCTGCTTTGAGCAAACTAACTAAAAAGATGTTTATGAAATATTGGGGAAATTTAGACATTAGATATTTGATTAAAAGGAATTGTTAGTTTTTGTAGGTGTGATAATGTATTACGGGATTTAAACAAGAGTCCTTTTAGAGATCTAATGTGTTTATGAA